AAAAAAAAAGAACATCTACTCAAAGTGGGAGGTAGGACACCTGATTCCTTTTATAAACTCATGATCACTTACTTATTACCTGAAGGTTGTCACTCACTCATAGAAGAGCTCATCTTCTCACTGAGTACATTATTTCCATTGACTCAGATCCTTCACTACAGCACCCAGTACATCAGTTCATTCTCTCATATTCAGCCTTTTTTTCCACCAGTACTTTATTGTGACTTACTAAGTTTTAAGCAACAGCTCCTGGATGCTCTGCTATATCCATTTGGGTGTTCAGAAAAACATGTTTTAAAAACTGTAGCACGTCATCCCTTGTCTTCCAACTCAGAACTAACTAGTGAACCTTTAGTTGAAAAGATAATGGGAGATCCATATAGTCATGTAGCCAATTAGACCAAAATGTGGAGGTAGCAACAAGGTCTTTCTATGTTCTTTGTCTTCGGCTCCTAGGATTAAGACCCTCCATGCGCAGATTATCGAGAAGGATGCCATGATCAAAGTACTCCAGCAGCGTTCCCGAAAGGAGCCGAGCAAGACAGAGCAGCTGTCGTGCATGAGGCCAGCGAAGTCTCTGATGTCCATTTCCAATGCTGGATCAGGCTTGCTCTCCCACTCATCCACCCTGACTGGCACCCCCATCATGGAAGAAAAGCGAGACGACAAGAGCTGGAAGGGGAGCCTAGGTACTGACTGTAAAAAAGGAATATTATAGTCACGTGTTCAAAGAGAGCCCTGAGATAAGTGCCCATGCTCAAGGAAAAGGGATGATGGTACAGGTTCTAGAGAGGAAGGGATACTAGGATTTTGGGGTATTTTTCCTCCTGAACCCCTAGTTCTACATTCTGGTGCTCCTCCATACTTTGAGGTCTCATGGTGAGAATGCTGATTGAGGCCGAATCCTAGAGGACAAGAATCTTGAGTTAACTTTTGGTGTGAAGGAAGATAACTCTGATTTCCTCTAAAACATTCTCAGATTTGGCCTTAGCCATGTGGCACCTTCATCTTTCTCCAAAGCCCATGTGGCGTTTGTGTCATTCAAAATTCCAAAATTCTAGCATTTCCGTGTTCCTTCCTCCCCTATAATAGGAGGACCCCAAGTTTTAGTTACGCTAAATCATTTGGATAGCACGCTTTGTTCTCAGAATGTTCTGAGATGAGAACAGAATGTAATTTTTCATTCCAGTCCTGTCCATCCCCTCCCCTCTAATCAAAACCCTAGACATATTGTGGGTACCACAAGGCACATTTTTTTATTTTAGCCCTTTTTGTTGCTTTTAATTCCTTTCTTGGTCCTCTGACACTTGTACTATCTTTTGGTTAGTATAAGCATTTTGGAGACTATGGCCATGGTCAGAACCTTATATCACACAATTATTACCACACTGAATCTGTGTCAACGACTTCTCCAAATCCTTTCCTGCTCCTTGGTAATGTGTGGTAATGGTTTATAAGTGGAGCCAAGTTAGGAGCATTCTGACAACTCGGTGAAACCCAATCACCATTGGAAAAATAAATCAAAACAGATACCCAGGACACTTAATGGCTTAATACATTCTGCCAGGTGATGGATGGATGAGGACCAGAAGGGATCTTCGAAGTCTGAAAGAAACTTTTAGCCATGGTGAGAGGGGCCTCACACACTGATTTCTGGGTTCGCTGGAGGTAACAATAAATAATTGAGACACATGCAAACTTCTGAAATTTGAATGGGAGAACAGGTAATTCGATGTCTGGATTTGAATCACCTATTGTTTTCTAACGTCTGTCCCTCTTTCATTTGTAGGCATTCTCCTGGGTGGAGACTACCGTACTGAATATGTCTCTTCCACACCCTCGCCTGTACCCCCCTCGACTCCCCTGCTCTCGGCTCACTCCAAGACAGGCAGCCGAGACTGCAGCACCCAAACTGAACGTGGAACGGAATCGAACAAAACCGCAGCTGTTGCTCCCATCTCTGTTCCTGCTCCAGCTGCTGCTGCTACCACTGCTACCGCCATCACTGCCACTGCTGCCACCATCACCACCACCATGGTAGCTGCTGCTCCAGTTGCTGTTGCTGTTACTGCTGCTCCAGCTGCTGCTGCTGTTGCTGCTACCCCATCTCCAGCAACTGCTGCTGCTATTGCTGCTGTTTCTCCAGCTGCTGCTGGTCAGATTCCAGCTGCTGCCTCTGTTGCTCCTCTTGCTGCTGCTGTTCCTTCTCTTGCTGCTGCTGCTGTTCAGGTTGCTCCAGCTGCTCCGACTCCGGTTCCAGCTCCGGCTCTGGTTCCGGTTCCAGCTCCAGCAGCGGCTCAGGCTTCTGCTCCTGCTCAGACTCAGGCACCAACTTCAGCTCCGGCTGCGGCTCCAACTCCAGCTCCAACTCCAACTCCAGCTATGGCTCAGGCTGAGGCTCCTGCAAGTCCAGCTACCGGTCCTGGACCACATCGTTTGTCTACACCAAGTTTGACCTGCAATCCAGACAAAACGGGTAATTATTCCCTTTAGCAGGTAGCTTTTGGTTTAGTTCTGCTGTCAAATACAGATTTACTTATTGGTGCCCGATGTTTGGGCAGAGTTGTCATTTAGACTGAGTTTTTCGTGTTCTAAAGGAGAGAGAAGATAATCTGTAAATGACTTCTCATCCACCAAGATGGGAACAGGCATGAGTAGAGGACATTATCTTAGCAAAAGTAAATGAGGGAGGTGGCAGGCAAATCTCACTTTCCCATCAGCTTCATGAGGGCTCTGATGGTGTCTAGTTCTAGAAATATGGGTTTTCTCTTCATCCCTAAGTGTTTTCTAACCCTTATTTCCATTTAGATGGCCCTGTGTTCCACTCCAATACTCTGGAAAGAAAAACTCCCATTCAGATCCTGGGACAAGAGCCTGATGCAGAGATGGTGGAATATCTCATCTAAATGGCCAAATCAAGAGCTGCAGATTATCAGCAAAAATTATTTTAATCATTTTCCCCTTTTATTTGTTCTTATTTTGAGGGTGAGGACAAGGGTTGGGGGGAGGGGATTTTTTAAATGGGACTTTTTATTGGAACAATGTACTACTTAAGTAATACCATAGGAACGCCAGTCTATTCTGGTATGCTTAGGAAGTACCTCTAAAGACAGATTAATCAGAATGTGCTCTAAAGTTTATCGTTTGGATTTATACAAATACTGGGACTGTTAACAGGTGGCTATACATTGATGTTTTCAATGTGCTTGAATTTGTTTAAAATTTCCATATTCTAGATGATTTTTTATTGAAGAGCACAGTATGTGTGGAAGACAGTGTGTAACATGTAGTTTGGAAGTGGGAAGCTGTAGAGAATTTAGTGTGTGCTGTTTTGTATAGTTACTATCCTGTACAGCAGCCAGAGAATGCTCTCGCCTCAAGCTTACAAAAGGGAGTAGTTTCAGGAGCTATGTAAGCTGGAAAAAGGTAGGGAGTTTTGGGGTGCAGAAGGGTGCTGGAGCTAATTTTTTCCCCCAATTTCCCAGCTACCCTGCCCCAGGGAATTGTGTTTGTCTTCATTTCAGTGGTGCTTTGGAAACGGATTCTTTTGGTTCCCTCCTGGAGGTTCATACATTCATATATATGCTCTGGAGTAATTTATGCATTTGGATAATTAATATATTGCTTTCAGATGCTGGGAGAGTACATTAACTGAGTGTTGCACAACTTCCTCTCTCTTAGGGAGTTAGACCATCAGAGGCCATGATGAAGAGTTGCATGAGGTGCTATATGCAGACTTTCATGGTCTGTGTGTAGCCATGAACACAGCTTGCTTGCATTTAGTAAGACCAGTCAGTTTAGTGTTTATTTCTTCTACAGCACAGATTCACTGGCTGGGTGTCCAGTCTCAAATTGCCAATCATTTACAAAGTGAGGAAGGATCTTTGTTGACAGGTTGAATGCTTTGAATTTCTGCTAACTACTTTGAAATAACTTGTTTGGTTTGTCAGATTCTGAGCATATATCTTAAAAGGCATTTTTGACTATCACCTCCAAGGGAATAGCATCAGAAACCCAAAGTACTATGCTGCAGTCAGGGGAGAGGTTGATTGCAGCAGTATTCTCAACTACCTCTTCTCATTGTCAGTGACTCCATCTTGGAATACCTTTCGGAAGCAGCAGGAAATGTGCATATGGGTACAGATCAAAGGCGGCAATGGCTCCAAGCCTTGCCATGGGGCTGCCTCCAAGGACACAGAAGGATGCCAGTTGCCACAGGTCCCTGCCCTGTGTCACCTGTCTGCCCTTCATTAAGGTGACAAACCTGCAGATAGCATCATTAAGATCAATTTTAAGGGGTATGGGGAGGGTGAGGGGAGTGGGGGGGGTGTTAGGTAAGGGTAGGGGGTAGAAGTTTTGAGATGTGTTAGTTAGAAAACAGATTAATAGAAGAGTAGGCTTGATATATTACATCATGAGCCATAGTGGTGGAAAAGAACTTTAGCAATATAGCCCTACCCCCTCATTTTAGTGATGAGGAATCTGAGAACTGGAGAGGTTCAGTGACTTTTTCAAAGTCACACAACACAGCTAACCATTATGCCAATTACCATGCTTATTTTGGGAAACTCTTGTTTTTTTAAATCCCATTTTATGAAAAGGCATCTTCATGGTCCAGGGAATATGTATCTTACACAACATCCCTGGCTGGAGTAGCTTGTCCAGTCTTGACAAACTACTGAATTTCTGTCTTGCTTCTCCTTCAGTGCCTTTTAAACGGTTTTCCCTTTTCTGATCTGCATTTCAACATTGAGTCACATAAAGGTCCCCCTAAGAAATCAATCCTACTTCTTTCTAGGAAACTGGGTGTCTTAGATAATCTTTTGGGGTTCCTCTGTGAGTATAGGAATGGTATCTTTCCTAATTATCTTCCAGAGGAATTATTCTGTGTGTGTACATGTTTGCGTGTAGAGACATAAAGGTGGGTGATGTGATTTTAAGCTAGTTCTTTCACATTTTCAATGAGGAAATCATTTTACATACACATCAGTCCTCAGTTACAAAGTGAATCCCAGATAGAAATTAAAAGTGCAGTTGTGTTAACTCTTTCATACTATCCTTTAGTTATAAGGAGGGGGGAAAAAAAAAAAACCTCAAATAGTAGAAAGCAGCAAGTAGCAGACTTCAGGAGAGTTACTTTCTATCCAAATCAATAATTTAAAAAATACTTTTCACCTGTTCCTTTCATGATTATAACACATTGGCAGACTTTTTGCTGGCTCTGGGAGCCATGAGTTTAATCACATTCTGCAAGGTGACAAATGTCATACATTCCACATTGTGTGGTAGCCATCTCTTTAGACTCATGTGTTTTGGGGAAAGGAAGAAGTTATTGGCTAAGTACTATTTTGAACTTTGCAGAACCTATCTGTCCTCTCACACCAGAGATAGTTCCTCTCTGCTCAGTTTCCAATCCCAGGTAATTTGCTAAAATAACATCGTACATCTCAGAGAGGGAAGAAGAGTATGTCAGTATATTACACAGAAGATAGATACAGCCTTTTCAGAAGATCTCCATTAGTTCTTCCAAAAATTCAAGTTTATGGGTGAAATCTCAATTAGCCATCTTTTCACAGATGTGTAGATGTCACATTTGGGGAATCTTTCTGGACTCCTACCTATCTGTGCATTTTACTGGCACCTCAGGAAAGGAGGGTGACCACGTTGACTTAGCTTGTACTGCCTGGTGGTCTCTGAGGACCTTCTAATTCAGTTGTTCCCCAATTTTCCATGTATAGAAAAACTTCATTAGAACAAACTTTACTTGATATGAAACTCCTATTAACAATCTTTTTTGAAATAAAATTAGCTTTGGCTTTCTTTTAAAATCATGTATCTTGATTGTTGATTTAATGAAGGATTTCCTTTTAATGCTGCTTTTGAGCTTCAGGGTAATAGGACAGCAGGAACCTTAAATATCTGCCATCATCTGCCATAGGAAAGATATCCAGAGACCTGTCATGTTGTCTTTTTGTTGTTACACCATTGGGTGGATATAACAATTAGAAAATGAACAAACTGATTGTGCAAACTACTTTTTATGACACGCTTAAACCTTCATAATGCGGCAGCTTAAAGTATATACATATGCACTAACTTTGATCAATATCTGTTAGCCACACAATCTCCTATTATCTCAATTGCTTAATTGCATATGGAATATGTTACTTAAAATGTGTGCATTCTTACTGAAAATGTTTTCAAAGGAGGGCATCAGTTGTGGGCTAATTGCCACCAATTTCAGCCTGCCATGATTCTTGGAAATATATCTTCCAACAAGTGTTACAAGTGTTGGGAGCTTGTTTATTTTTTTCCAGGAGCAATGATGGGTTGCATGGAGCCATGAAACCTCCTTCTGGCCTCCCTTGTGATTAATGGCATGTGTTTGTAAAATGGATAGCTGGGGTTGGCAGATGGCTAGAGAAGAATCACCTGTGGTTTAAAATGTATGTGGTCCCCTAATGATTGTGACCCCATTCTGTAATCAACTGAGCTAGTTCCAATAAAATTAAGCAGGTTTAAATCCACTTTGTGCCTATCTTTTCACTTACAATAAAGTTAGCTATTTTAAAATGCAGTACCGTGTGGAAAATGCTTTGGTGTTTACCCGACAGAGGCTTTATTTGTGCTGTATCAGTGATTACTTTCAATTCAGTATGCAGTGAAATTGCCTTTCACAGGCAGCGTGCAGCAGAATTTGCATTTGCTTGAGGTATGGAATGTGATTATAGATTATAAAGTATTAAGACAACACCACAGGCCACATGCTCTAATCGGTCTCTTTATATACTCAGGCAGCATATATTAAAAGCTTTGCATCTTTTTATCTCTTGGTTCCTAGGGATAAAATGATGGCCACCCAAAGCAGAGAATTCATCCTTTGGTTAGTGTTTTGGAAGGTCCCTTGATAGTCCTTTTGTACCCTTGTTCTGATACCAATTCATCAGTTTTGGTTGAGGGAGCTTGTTATTAAAAACAAATCAAAACCACAAACGAGTTGGCTCTTCACTGAAAATGTTAAGGCTGCCTTTACACTGCACTTCCTGTGCCTCCTGTTTACCAGTAAGTTCCAAACCTGACTGGTGAGGCAAGGATCCCCAAGGACATTGAAATGACACATTTTCACAGTGAAATAGACTTGGGTGTTGCAAAAGGGATGGGGCAGGGGGTCTAGAATTCATTCAACTGTAAATTTGATTTTTTTAAAAGTTGGACTTGATTCCCTCCATATTTATGATAAGTACTTTGAAAACTGTATAGATAAAAGCCCTCCCTCTTTTTCAGGACAAAGAAGACAAGGTATTAAGATGACCAGACCTTCTTACAAAGCTTTGCAAAGCATGATTTTCAGAAATGTATTGTGCCCATTTCTTAAGGAGCAGTCACTTGTTGGGAGAAAAGCAAATGTTCCTTCAAAAATGTGTTAGATTGCATTGTAGGAGCATTTCTTGATATTATCATTATCCAGTTATATAACTGGCCTGGCATCTGCATGATACGTCCTCTCGCTGTGTGCATTTCCTATTGAGATAAGTGATCTGCACAGCCTATATGAGTTACACAGTGGCAGGAAAAAAAAGGCTTGTTTCCCACCTCCACCTTACTCTGCAGGAAGGTTTTTATTGGAGAAAAAAAATGTAAATGGTTTGGTCTTAGATCATTTTCTACATTGGCAGTTGCCCTGTATTTCAGTGAAGAACCCTGTGTTTTGGGACTTAGTTTCCAGGAAGAAAAATGTTCTCCGTGGTACCAAATTTTATACCACATTACAACTGGTCACTCTTTAGATGCACAGACTAACCAACCCTATGGTATGTATTTTGGTCTCTCTGTTTTTTTATTTGTGAGTAGCCTCTACCAATGGATTCAGGCACGTGTGAGTTATTAAAAAACTACTTACTAGGTGGTGCCATTATGTAAATGGCCCTAGAATACAAAATTTTAAAATAGTCCATGATACTAGTTTATTACATAAAACTACACATACAGACACATTTATAATTCATTGTGGTATGTGAAATCACAAAGCTTTAAACAAGAATGCAGAACTAATTCAAAAATGGGAATGATTGTTGGGATGGTACAGGGAGAAGGGAGTAGAGAGGAACTAAACTGAGCTTTGAATGATATGTAGATGTTTACTAGGTGAACCAGGGGATAGGGATGAACATTCCATGCAGAAGGAATAGCACGTGCAAGGACAGTCTTACTTTGTCAGACCTGCAATCTAATCCAGACTCCATTTCCCAGACCGAAGTCCCTAGAGAACTGCTCTGAATTTTAACAACCTACTAATGGCAACACAAACTCACTCAATCACGTGGTAGAATAGACTAGTCTAGAAGTCAAGAGAACATGAAGTTTCAGTCCTACATCTGTCACTAAACAGATACTTGTGGACCAGTTCCTTAACAGGATCTAAGAAGTTTATCAGTAAAATGGGGATAAATACTTGTCCCTGTGAACCTTGTGGAAAGAGATAGAAGAGGCTAACAAAGTAAGAATATAAAAAGGTGCCAGTCAAAACAAAGCGCTGAATCTATAAAGATGAAGTGGTATTTCTTTAACTTTTCATTAAGGAAAAAATTCAAGCATATGCAAAAACCAGATAGCTAGGGCACCTCCATTTACCCATTTCTAGGTTTCAACAATTAAATATGCATGGCTGATCTTGCTTCATTTATCACCCCCACCCACCTTATATTATTTTGGAGCATATCCCAGACATCATAGCATTTCATCCATAAATATTTCAGTATGCATAATAACATTTCTAATAATGAAAAAGTCAAGTGTTACATCTCGAACCAAAATATGTAACACATCAAACAAACAAAAAAAAATGACAGCATGTTTGTGCTTTGCCACTTACAAAGCTTCTTCCTTTGATCCCACAACTCCTGCTTTAAACTGAAACATAGTCTCAAAAACAGAGGGGTTCCTTCTCCCACAACCCACATATCAAAGGGCAGGATTTTTTTAAAAGACTCCCCAGTGTAGGTTTCAAGCCATTATTTCTCCTTCACTCATATAAAAAGCTCTGGCTCCTTTAATGTCCCTGTCATCCAATTGTTCCTTGTTTACCCTCATCTACTAAGTTGGTCACTACCCCAAGTGCACTGATGGTTTTGGCCCTTGGATCACAGTTGCCTCTCTAGTCCCAAACAATCAAGACAGCATCTTGGCCCATCAGCTCCTTGGCCTCTCTACCTTCACTGACCTCCACATCCATTTCACCCCAGCTCACTGTGCCCATGGCCAACCCACAGCTGGCCATCAATCAACACTGCTCCACTGCGGACATGTCCACCAGTACCCCCCTCTCTGACCACAGTCTCCCATCCTCTCAGTTTGCCCGCTCTGACTCTATCTACCTTTTCACTTCAAAGAGACCTCAAATCCCTCAATGCCTCCATTTCCTCCCAAACTTTTAGCTCTTACCCATCTATTCTTGGCCTCAAACTCAATCACTTGAACCTGCAATCAGTTGATACTCTCGCAGAACCTCAACCATTCATCACAAAATCAGAAACTCATGAGCCATCCTTGACACCTCCCTCTCTCTGATAAGGTAACGTCCAATCTATTACTGATTCTATCCAAATAAATCCGAAAACCTCATTCACTTTGTTCTAACTATACTGCCAACAACCTATTCTAAGCCACCATTATCCTTCAGCTAGACTATTTTAGTAGCCTATTAACTGATATGCCATGCTAAATATTTTTTTTGTTTGTTTGTTTTTGAGATGAGAGTCTCTTGTTGCTCAGACTGGAGTGCAATGGTGCAAGCTTCGCTCACTGCAACCTTGCCCTCCCAGGTTCAAGCGATTCTCCTGCTTCAGCTTCCCGAGTAGCGGCTTACAGGCACTTGCCATCATGCCCAACTAATTTTTGTGTTTTTAGTAGAGATGAGGTTTCACCGTGTTGGCCAGGCTGGTCTGGAACTCCTGACCTCAAGTGATCCACCCACCTCAGCCTCCCAAAGCACTGGGATTACAGGCGTGACCCACCGTGCCCAGCCTGCCATGCTCAATCTTGTTCCACTGTTTTTATTCCAGTCACTAGTTAGCAACAAATGTAATTAATATCATGTCATTTCCCTGCTTACAATCTTTCAAAAGCTTCTAATGGCAATGTGAATAAAATGGTGCCACAAGAGGTAAAACAACTAACCCAAAGTTTTATAATTAGTGAATTTGGAACTAGGATGCACATATCTTGAACTATTATTCTATCTGAAAAATTATCATGAACTATAATGAATATATTTTTTTCTTTATGCTCAAAGGATACTACTGATATGACAGCATTATTTTCTCTGATATTAACCTAGAGCAACTATTTTTGAAGTGTGCTCCAATCCATCTGTCTTGAAATTACCTTCCAGGCAAATTCCCTGGCCTTGCTTCCAGAGACACTTATCCTGTACTTCTAGAGTAACACCAAGGAATTTGCATTCTAACAAGCTTCCCAGGAGATTTTTTTTTAAATTATGATAGACACACAATAATTGTACATATTTATGGGGTACAATGTGATGTTTCAATGCATTTACAAATAGTATAATAATCAAATCAGGAATATTAACATATCCATCATGTTAACTATTTGTAATTTCTTTGTAATGAGAAGATTCAGAAATCTCTCTTCTAGCTATTTTGAAATATACAATATATTGTTTAGTCATCCTACTATGCAATAGACCACCAGAACCTATAACCTCTAACTATATAGCTTTATATCTGTTGACTAATCTTTCATTATCTCTCCTTCCCCTTGCCTTCCCCATCCTCTGGTAACCACTGTTCTATTCTATACTTCTATGAGGACAACTTTTTAGATTTCACATATGAGTGAGATCATGCGGTATTTCTCTTTCCATGCCTGGCTTGTTTCACGTTGACATGATATCCTCAAGACTCATTCATGTTGCTGAAAATGATGGAATTCTTTTCTTTTTTACAGCTGAATAGTATTCCATTTTGCACACATATATGCAAAATGGAATACTATTCATATGTGCAAATGGAATACTATTCAGCTGTAAAAATGAAGAGAATCTAAGTGTTCATCAACAGATGAATGGATAAAGAAAATGTGTGTGTGTATACATATATGGCACTTTCAGTGTAATTAATATTGTGTCATTCCCCTGCTTACAATCTTTCAAAAGCTTCCAATGGCAGTGTGAATAAAATGTTACTACAAGAGGTAAAACAACTAACCCAAAGTTTTATAATTAGTGAATTTGGAACTAGGATGCACATATCTTGAACTTGAATATTTTTTACAGCTGAATAGTATTCCATTTTGCACATATATATGTGTATACTTTCACTGCCATATTTGTATACACACACACATTTTCTTTATCCATTCATCTGTTGATGAACACTTAGATTGATTCCATATCTGTGCTATTGTGAATGGTGCTGCAAATGAACACGAGAATGCAACTATCTCTTGAGCATGCTGATTTCATTTCCTTTGGATATGTACCCAGTAGTGGAATTGCGGGATCTTTGCAGCTCCCTCTGAAAGTACATACTTTGAGAAATACTGGCCAAGGATTTC